TGATCTGTCATCACAGTTTAGCCACATTCACCACTGACCTTTCACAGAGAGGATGGTCTTGATAAATGCAGTTCATTACAGAGTTCTGACGTGAAAACAGAATGGCACTCTGTGTTTCTTGGCAGGCTGATCAATATTTTATCTGCCAAAGCATACAGAAGTGCTAAACAGGACGAATTACGTAGCTGCAGCAAAACAGAACAAGAAACAGAATTGCTCGGGGTGAGCAGAGCATGTAAATGTGACAGTTATTGGCCACACTTTGGCAATCAGACCCTGAGACGCTGTTTTTTTCCTTTCTTTTCTTCTGTCTTACTGTTTTTCTTTGCCTGTCATTCTTTTCTTTTTCAATACAAACAGGGCCGGGCTTCACTGGTTCTGGAAGCGCCGTAAACAGATAAGAAGGGCTTGTTTTTGCTGAGGGCTTCCAGCATTGCTGGGGACCCACTGGGCTCCCTGCCCAGGGGCACCGCTGTGCTGTCAGCCCCCCCAGCCAGGTGTGGGGATGGCAGTGGGTGCTTTGAGAGGATGTTTCATGTCTCTATTAAAAAAAAAAAAAAAGAAAGAAATCAGAAATCCTTGTCTTTTGAGCCTGGTATATTGAAGTTTTATCCCAGGAGCTGCTCCTTGTGCAGGGGTTGTTTGAAAGTCACCAGCGTTTTCTTTTTAGGGCTATAAAGGAGGATGTCAGACTACGGAAGGGGTCTGGGCTGACCTCCAGCAGAGTGCTGGGAACAAAGGCAGCGCTGCCCAGGGCATCCTACAGCTGGGCAAAAAGCATGCAGCTCATCCCAGGGAAGGCTCCTGTTTGTCGTACAAAGCGTTTGTGTCAAATCAGGTTCTTGTTCAAAAAGCAGAGGGGCCATCAAAAGCAGTGATGCAGTCTCTTGGAATGGGGAAAGTAGCCTTTTTTGTTCCATTTTCCCTTTCAACTTAAAATAAATTCCTAAGCTGGGATCTGAAGGCATGGTATTACACGTTGTTAACACTATTAACTTTAAAAAAAAAAAAAAAAAAAAAAAAAGCCCTGCTCTAGCAGATCAGCATCTTAGTTTTGAGATCAAGTGTCTGCAGTGTGCCTAGAGCTCTCTTCTTCAGCAGTCAGCAGAATAAATCCTATTGGGATCGTGCTTACGGATGGAAAAACAACTTGCATGACTTTTCTTTTTCCTAACCGATCCTTATACAAAGTAGTGGAAAAAGATGTTCAAGCGTGCAGAGACCCAGTTTAGGGCACGGAAGCAGAAAAGCAGTTTTCAGCTCATCCCAGAGCTGTGCAGCCGGCAGTTCTCCATCTGGAGGTGGTACAGATGGGAGCAGGGGGCAGTTGGGCTGCACGCAGAGACGTCTCCAGCACTCAGAAACAGAGCAGGGAAGAAGTGCTGCAACAAAAGCAGCAGAGGCAGCTCCTGGTGTGCAGGCTGGGAGTCTGGGTTCCAAACAAGGCACTGCTGGGATCTGTGGGGACAGCAATTGCAAACAGAGCCCAAATGCCCGGGCTGTGCTAACAAGGAAACCCCACCGAGAGGCACCAGCAGGGAGAGCAGTCAGTGGCTAGCGCTGAGCTCGTGTTGCAAAGGAAACTGCTGGAGGCACTTAGCAAAGCACAGACAAGAATGGGAATGAGTGAGAGGGCATGAAGATGATTTTTCTGTGATTCAAGTAGCAGCTGTGGTTATAATACCTGAAAGAACAGGAAACATAGAAGAGACAGGAGTGCTGCCAGAAACTTAAAGAGAGTATTTAGCAGATAAAGTTGGTGGATCCTGGGCACGGTGTAAGAAGATTATAAGTGTCACTGACAGCAGGAGTTGGGACTGGGGAGGAGAGAAAGCACTGAGCTGTGCTTTGCAGGACCTATACAACAGCCCCAAAGGACTATGAGCTGAGTCCACAGGGAAGATGGCTGGATTAAGGATAAGAGAGCAATGTCTGGTAAGGAACGGGAAGGGGCTTTATAACAGGAGAACCTGGTTAACCTTAGCATTGGCTTGCCAAATGATCCAAGCTGCCTACGTGTGTCCTTGGTGGAGGGTGGAGGCAAGGAGTCTTCTGCAGTGCCTTCCCACTGCTTTTAGAGGAGCATCAGGTCCAGGTTGTGCGGATGGGTCTGACATCCCACACAAGGATGGCAATGAAACCAGTGCTTTGGCCAGGTGTACTGAGAAGTTGGGTCAGACAGAACATGTCTTTTGACTAGGACATGTTCTTTTTTCCCACGTGTTGGTTTTTTTTTTATTATTATTATTTTTGCTATAATGAGATTAAATATATAAATTATTTAATTATTTATATGCACCTTCGTATATAAGCCTCAGCACATTTTCTCATCAATCTTTTAGTTCCACTGAACAAGCACAAATGAGGAATCTTTCACCTCTGTGACAGAACTTTACTGCTTTTTCTCTTTTCTTTGTGTGCTGCCGAATGCCAATATGTGCCTTGTCCTGAAGGAACTGCTTCTGCATCACTGCCAGGCTCAGGTGTCACAGGTGGCAGGGGAGGATGGCCAGAGGTGTGAGCTGTCACCTCCGTGCTGCTAAGAGGTGCTGAGGGAACGGCGTCCAGCAGAGCTGAGCAGCGCTGTTTTCTCCAGGGGAAAGGGAAGATGATGAGGTTTTGGAGCAGTGTGAGCTGGGGCAGAGCTGTGGTTTGCGTTAGCGAAATGTGAAACAGAGCTGATATTTTAAATAGGTGTAATTGTGTTATTGCTGGCTTCCCTTGCTGTGTGTGGTCTGGTGCTACCCTGCTGCTGGGATGGGCTGGGCTGGTTGCTTGGTCCCTGACAGCAGCCATTGCAGTTATGGAGAAAAAAGTCTTGATGTTTTGATGTGAACGCAGAGCAGCATTTGGGGTGTGCTGCTGAGGCTGCCACCAGCTCTGTCTTCCCTCCAGTTTCCTTTATTTCACTCTTTATGTGCATCGCATCTGCCTGGAGGTGACAGCCGTACCCCTCTCAAAGTCCCCAGGTTGGCTCCTTGGGCTGTCCTGCAGCCATGTGAGCCTGTGCGTTTTGGGGAAGAACAGTTTTGGGGGATCTTTGTTGTCAACGTGTGGATAGAGCATGGGGGTGAAGGAGATCACCATCTCTTCCCTCTTGGCAATGCAGCCATGGGCATCGTGATGCATCCAAATGGGAAGCACCACGCAGGAATAAGGTGGGAAGCAAACTAAATAGTTTTCTCTGTCTTCGTTAGCCTAAGATACATCTTAGAATAGAATTAAGATTTGACTGGAAAGAAAGGAAAACTTCATCTCAGAGAAAAGCAATTATTGAAGTAGCTAAATCCGTATTTATGACAAGACTGCAAAATTGTGTGATTGCACTGGAGAAGGCAATCAAAATTTCTTTTAAATAAGCACATGATTGTAAGGAAGGCACTTCTTGCCACCTTCAGGATAGCTATCAAATGGGGAAGGGGAGAAAGGCAAAACAAATAAACAAGGCTGATAGCAACTGAGTTGCAGAGAAGCCTTGTTCTTCCATGGGATTGATCTCCAACTGAGATCTTTGGTAGTTGTTTAAGAGAGAAGGAAAAATGTTACGGCTGTTCATTATCGCTGGGCAGTGAGGAGCCCAGAAGGGTCTGAGTTCAGGATGGGAAGTGAGCCTGGTTGTGTGGTTATCGCAGCAAAGCAGCACGGTGCTGACCCCAATGGCGGGTGCATTTCCGGCCCCTCTGTCCCCTTCTACCTTCTCAAGTCATGATGTTTTTGAAGCTATGAGCATTAAATAGGAAAGGGGGAAAAAATCTTGCCAGTAGATTTGTTTTGACATCAGAGAAATGCCTCCCACCTGGAATTTTAATTGGGTTTCAGTTGTAGCGGGACAAGAGGTCCAAAAATGATGTTGGCTCAGCAATAAAAGGACAGGAAGGCTGGCGGTCAGTATGACAACCTGCTGTTATTTTTCAGAGGAATAACATTTGAAGTCTTTGGGGAACTGATCTGCAAGAACATTGTCCCTTAAAGAGTGGAGAGACCCCTCAGATTTAGTCCAGCATGAGAGCTGAAATAGAATTGTTTCAAAACTGCCAACGCAGAGAACAGAAGCACAGAGAAAAGGGCATCTAGCAGGAGCAGCGGGCAGTGCTGTGCTTTGCACTAAAGCAAACAGATCTGCACCGACAGGAAAGCGGCCGCACTTCATTCTGCTAAGCTTTGCCAGACAGCAGTAGAGCAGAAAAGGGCAATAATGCTTTCGGTGCTCCGGGCACGTGGGTCAGCTTCCTGTCTAAGAGGATGCCTTTAAATCAGAGCAGAGCACTGCTCAGAGGATTGCTGGCAGCTGCGAGCACAGCGAGAGCTTTCAGGGTCACAGAGGTTTGGTCTCATTGCTCTAGCCAGGCTGGTGTCACTTCAACGCGAGCGGCTTGAGGGCTTCTCACTGATCATGACGTTTTTCCCTGGTCAGGGGTCGAGGGAGGTGGCTGTGGCAGCATGCAGTGTCACTGCAGGCAGCAGGCTGCTCCACACCATCCTTCCCCACCAGCCTAGAGTCTTGTGCTGTGTCTGAGGCTTCCTCGTGCTCTAACACCTTGAGAGTGAGATGTATTTGCTGTCCCTGTGCGCTTCGTGCCTCATTTACCCCAAAAAGGTTAGTCCCATGTGTTGCATAGGGTGACACTGGAGTGTTTGTGCCTCAAATCAGCCTCCTATGATTTATTTTTCACTTTGTGATCACTGGACTGATGATATTTAGACAAATGTGGGGCAAATTTGATATGGGTGGGGATTGCAAAGCTAAGTATGAAAGTCTGTTAGCAAAGCCCTATCATCTGCAAGGCAACGTTCTGGAGACAGCCCTGACAGCAGGGCTCAGCCAAACTGTCAGCTCCTACAAAGGATGACCACTGCAGGAGCTGCAAGGCGCAGCCTGGCGCGGTGCCGTGTGTGCAGACAGCCCGGCTTTGGCTGTGCCATATTTATCATTGCTTCAGAAGCAGAATCCCTTAAAGGATCCTCGTGCAGTAACTCATCCCTCCTTCCCTCTCTTCCAGGTGACACGTGCACCATGGCCAGCTACAGGCGGCTGAAGGGCGTCGTGTTGGAGCTGCAGGCGCAGCGCTCAGCCCCACCGCGCCGCCCAGCCGCCGACAGGGCTGCCCAGAAACGTGCTTTGGTGGAGGAGCTCTTCCAGCACCTGGATGAAAACAGGGATGGGCACCTCAGCAGCTCGGAGCTGGCGCAGGTGGGTGCTTTGTTGGGTGCAAATGGAGTGGGTTGTGTTTCTCATTTTGGAAAGGAGAGGTTGGCTGTGCCACAGCAGGGGGAGCGGTGATGCTGCAGCCCCCACGTCTGCCTCTGCATCTCCGGTGTGGTGTCCAACACTTGGTGATCCTCCACAACAACAACAGTGATGCTGGCAGTTTTCCAGCATCATCCTTGCTCCTGAGAATAGCTGATAATCCTCACTGCTAGCAATCATCTCCAACATTTCCAGGTAGCTTTTGATTCTGTGTAAGTTAGGAAGAAATCCTTCCCTTCTTCCTCCTCTTTTCTGGATCATATGGTGACATGACAGTAAAGTCAGAATACTTTTAAGAGGTTTATTTTGCCAGGGTGTTGAGGCAGATACTGAAATTTTGATTAGCTGATCCTAATAGCATTTGAAAAGGTGAGAGCCTGAAGAAACTGTTATTTCTAATTATGGGCCTGCTGTGCTGTTGGAATTCATCTAATTGGTAAAGTGAACCAGCGCAGGCACTTCTGCTGATTACTTTGTGCCCTGAACTTGTTTTCTTAGTGTGAAAATTTGACAAAGCAGCCTTATAAATATGAGCAGCAGCACTACACCAGATGTGGGAGAGTGTCCCCACATTGATCTTGTGGTTCTCTATGTTCTATAGAGTTTCCCCACATTGATCTTGTGGTTCTCTGTGTTCTATGAGGACAGCGCAAGCTTGCTGCTCCTCAAGCAGGACCATTTGCAATGGATTTGCTCTGAATTTTAATCCTAATGCTGTTGACACGATGCACAGTCCTGCCTGCACAATGCAAAGTGTCAGCATAAATTCCCTTAGATCTGAGCTATGAATGTATACAATACTTCATCTGAATTCGGTGATCTCTTATAAAGGCATGGGTAGGGATAAGAAAGCACTTCTCTCTGAATTCAAAGCCTGCTTTTGCACAGTTACATCTGAGTGTGAGAAAGAGCACCGAGAGGGCTCCAGGCGCAACAGCAAGCAAAGGAATTGGCTGCTAGTTTTTAATTCTTCTAACTATATCATCAAACTCAGTAAACGTGTTTGCAGCTCTGTTGCTTGCTGCAGTGTAATGAGCTGACAAAATCCAGCCCTCAGCTGGAGCCCACTCAGCCACACGTCCTCTGTGCACACACAAAGGCTGACAAAGTGCCAGCACCTCTCAAAAGACAAAGCAACACCAGGTAATGCTGAGTGCAGAGGGGCTGGGGATGCCTTTAATCCTGAGCTGAGCTGCAGTGCTGTGGGCCCCACTGGGGCAGTGTGGCCAGGTCAGGCTATGCTGGGCACCACCTGAACCCTGGGGCTCTCACACCGCCTATATTTCTTCTTAGCTCCAAGCCAGGATGACTTCCATCTGCTTTCACCTGTCTGCTTTATTCACTCTGCTTCCAAGGGATTTTTGTAGGCAATGAGCAATTTTTAATTTTCTGTGTTACAGCCTTAAGAGAAAGTTTCTTGCCTTGAGAGGCAGATCTGTGACTGATTTGTGTTGGCTCTTTTAATCTGAAGCTCACCACAACTTTAAAGTTCCTCCGAAAATGGGAGTTTTATTGCCCATGGGTAGAGGCAGATAAAATGAGCATGGTGCACAGGGAGGCATGTGATCTCATTCTCTCTGGCCGCTGGATGAGCTGTTGTTGTGCATTTTCTTTGTTTTACTTAAAAGAAAAATAGTCTCTTGAGCACCATAACCTTGTCTGCAAGAAACAACCTGAGGCAGGTAACACACACTGCTGCAGGAAACAAAAAGCACAAAAAAACCCAACAACCCAAGAAACAAAACAGTCATTTTTAAAGCCTGAAAGGGGTCTTTAGGAGGCTCAGTGCAGAGGGATTTGTCCCAGAGGAGAAACTGGAAGCATAGTCCCTGCAGCAAGGACAGTCCAGTGCCAAGGTAGCTTCCAGCACAGGGACACAGTTGAGGGCCTGTGCTTATTTGCTTACTGTCCATTACACAATTGCTTTGAGAGAAAGAGTGACAGCAGATGATCCATCCCTTCTGTGTAGAGCCCGCTCTGTGTCCTCACTGCCAATGGATTCCATTGAGCTGTGTTTCCCTCTGGACCCAGCAGTGTGAAGCACCCATGTTGTCCTGCAGCCATGGGTATACAAATCTATTAACAAAGGTAGTAATTGGAATGGTATTTCCATTTAAAACCTGAATGTATTTTCTAGTCAGATTCATAAATCTACTGAACACATTGCAGCTGAAGTGCCTTGTGTGTTGTTTTTTTTTTTTGTCTCCTGACATTAAATCAAAAGGAATAGTAAAAAAACTTGTAGTCTGATGAAAAGCTGATCAATTTTCAATACAAAGATAGACAAAGGGAAATTTCCATCTTTAGAAGATTGATCTCAGATGTTATGGTTGATCTCACTTTTATTGAACATTTTTACTGGCTAGGTGAAGGGTCATTTTTTTAGCATTATTGCTTTAAATTGCTTCAATATAATGGGCCAAGACTAGAGGAGTAAATAAGAGAGTCTCTGGATTGCAGCAAAAGCCTTCCTGCCTGGGACATGCAGTATTTCAGGAGTTTTCTTCATGTTCCACAATAAATTCAGAGAAGCCATTGTTTTCATTACGCTTAGATCTGAGTTTAACTGTTTGCTAACTTGGATGTATGACTTTCAAATCTCTCTTCATTTTTCGTGTGGAATGTGTGAAATCCTTTGCATGCAGAAGAAACAAACTGTTGAGAACTGAAAAAACACATTCATTTTGAGTATACCATCATCTCTTGCTTGTTCCAGTCCTAAAGGGGAAGGTGAAAGCGCTTGTGGAGTGATACTTTTTTTTCCTCTTTGCCCTATAAACCTAGTCCTAATCTGCTGACTTACGAAAGCACTGTTCTCCAGAGCCTCTGCTGCTCAGAGGCATTCAGAGAATTCTCATGCACCAGTGCCAGCAGCTGGCACCCCGAGCCAAGTTTGTGCCAAGTCAGAGCTCCAGCTTGGAGGGTTTCATGGTGCTGGGGGCTGAGTTGTGACCATCCTCATGCCCCTCTGAGGAGGAAGAAGAGGGTACTGCCCAAGGGTCATTTAATGGCGCATCTGCTGGGTGACTCAGAGCCACCGTCTGTAGCTTTGCAGTGAGGTTGAGCGTTTTCTCTGCTGCAGGTAATGAAGAAAGAGGATCTGGAAGATGATTTATTGGATTGTACGCTGGAAGACCTCCTCCGGTTTGATGATTATAACAACGACGGGCGCCTGACCCTGCAAGAGCTCTACACGGCCTTCCGTAAGTCCTGATGCTTCTGTCTGTCCTCAGTGTTGAAAGCGTGTGAATATCTGAGATGGCAGTGCTCCCTGCCCAGGCATGGTCAGCAAAGATGATCCCTTTTTGTATTTCATGTAAGGCTTGTTTTTAAAGATTGCTGTGCTTCAAAGGGTGGGCAAGAGCCAGGAGGTTGGTAAAAGCGTATGGGACTTGGTGTTCTTGTGGGTTTTCTCATGCTTTGGGCTGATGGCATCTTGTTGGTGGCTGTTGAGAGATGTTGGGGGAATGCCATGTATGTAGCCGTGAGCGTGTGGCTCCTGAGTAGCTCTGAGGAAACAATATGTACAAGCTGTTTTTGCCAAACGTCATCTTTCTAAAGAGAAGGTTTTCAATTTGCTTGACTTTCATTTTAAAAAGAGCAACTTTGGATAATAACATTTAATGTGCTTTCACACTAGCCCCAGTAATCACCTTGCACCTGTTTGAACCACATATATATTTAATTCAACACAGCACACTCAAAGCAGCAGATATACAGTAAAGCATAAAACTTCATCCGTTAAGAAGGTGATCAAGTGAGTTACCCCAGCTATAAAGGTTTGACATGCAGTTCTTTGGGAGTGTATTTGGATCAACGCGTTCTCAAAGTCACGGGAACTTGAAGCTAAATTCCACAAGTCATCTGTATGAGTTCTTGGTTCAGTGGATTTTAAGCAGGCAATGAAAATAGGACAGGTACAAAATATTAGCCCAGGGACAGAGGAAATAATCGATAAACTGCAGAAAGTATTGCTGCAAAAAAGCACGGCGTATTGAGGATTTATCGAAAGGATTTTGAATATTAAAAGAAACTAATGCTCAGATTTCTCTATTTTCAATTTCCCAGAATCCCTGCTTTTATCCAGAGCATTTATTGGTCGTTGGTTTTCAATTAAAAAACAAAGCACGTTGCTTGCAACTTTGGAAACTTTACAGGATTCACAGCATGTGAACTTCAGTGCTTGGTTAAAGCCTGGCTTTTTACTTTATTGCACTGTCTGGGAACAACTTCTCAAAAATATGTTTATGAGCTTTGTTCTTCATTATGAGGCAGCCCTGGCCCCTGACAGTAGTTTTGTAGTACATCAGGCACATTTTTCACGTTGCGTTGCTTAGAATTCAGCCAAGTCACTTATTTCTGTGTGCCAGCAGTGGGGATGGCTGCTCTGCAAGTTGAGGAACCTGACTTTCAGAATTCAGTGACATCAGGAAGTCTCAATCTGATTTATCCTCTCAAAACCTCCGTTAGGTCTGTCTCAGCGTGCCGCGCTCCGGTGCGGTGTTGCAGTTTGGAAAGGTTTGAAGATGACCTTGATGAAGCAAAGAGCTTTCCAATTTGTCATTCTTGCCATACTTTTGAAGCTGCAATTCATTTTCTTGACTCCCATGGCCTTTCTGCAGCTTACAGAGACACAGAATTGTACCTCCTCACTCCACGGTTCGCTCTTGCCTTTTTTTGACCCATCTTCTCCCTCTGGGGCCCACAGAGGTCCAAAGGGCATCTTTGGTTCTGTGCCCCGCTGGTCAGCTGAGAGTGAATGAAAGCTGTGTGGGTGAGAAGAAATGCAATGCCTTGCCTTATTGAAACCTGGTCTCACCATTACAACTCCTACATGTAATAGGTGCTGCTTTTAATAATCATTTCTAATCAGGCTAATCAATTACATACACATTTCAATGCGGAATATCAGATTGAGGGTAGAAATAGCAGCCCTCCTGCTAACCCTCTCTAATGTATCATCTTTATTCTATTTTTTTCTGAAAATTCTTTTATCCCTGAATAACAAGAACGCAATTTTAAGAAATTTGCTTTGGTGTATGAGGATGAATGGAAATATCTATTAGCAGAGGATTAAAGTATCACTTTCCAAATCATCCTAATCATTCGTACACGATGAGTAACATCTGAGACAGTTTAAATGTTCTCCTGGCAGCTCTGGAAAGAACAAGTTTAGGTGTCTTCTAATTTCTTATTAGTAAGTTTTATTAGATAAACAGGATTAGGGCAGTAATGAAAAGAAATTTATTTTTAAGATGATGAACTCAAATATTTTCACATTCCAAAGATAGAAAGTGTAGTACTAAGTGTACTTGTCTGTTTTCATACTGATATTTTCACAAAAGATTCAATAGATGAGTAATAAATAAGAAGCTTTGTTTATATCAGTACTACAGCAGTGCATGCACCTAATTAATCAGCATGGAGATGGTCAAGGAAATTGGCAAGCACGCCGCCCAGCTGAGTCAAGCTTTAAATACACTCAGATGAGTGATGTTTGGATGTAACTTCTGGAACAGTATCTGACTGGAGGTCATTAGAATTAGGCATGTCACTTTTGGCTTTCCCGTTGTCTTCCCTAATGGGAAAGTAGCAGGTTGGCAGATGTGAAAGCCCAGCTGAGAAAATCAGTGTAATCTTCTGGATCTATATTAGCATCAATGTGGACAGGTCCATTTGTAACACAAATATGTCGAAGAGAGGGAAAACATGCATCCCATCAAAATGGCTTTATCTTGTCAACATTGTTTAGCTAATAAGAAGCTATTAACCCTATGATAAAATCCCCTTAAGTTCCAGCTCACTGCCAACTAGGGCTCTCTCCTAAGCAGCACGCCCTTCTGACAGCTTGCCTGTGCATTTTGCTGTACCTCAGAGAGCACGAAAAGGCCTTTTGTGAGCATCCTTCCTACCCCATGGCTGTTGTTCTGACAGCAGGGAAATGCTGCTGGCTGTGAGATGTGCTGTTATCTAAAGAACACAAACACAGTTTAAATGCATTTATACAATCATAGAATCACTGAGGTTGGAAAAGACCCACAGGATCACCCAGTCCGACCATCCATTTACTGCAGGAATGAGTGCAGAAGAGGCTGCGGGATCAGCGTGCTCTTTTCACTCCTAAACTTGCTGGTGTTGGCTTGTGATTGTGCTGTTGTGCTCTTTGTAAGAAGCTTGTGCTGTTCTCTGATTTTGCTTTAATTCAGATTTCCCTTGTTGAACTGGCCTTAATACTTAGTGAACAATGTACTGTGGGTGAATTTGAGGAAATAAAAGGAGTGAGGAGCCAGGGCTGGGCATGGCTGTTGGGTAAATCAGTGCCAGTGTAGAGGAGCAGCAGTGGGTTGGGCTCCAGGCTCCATAAGTAAGACACACGGGGCTGTTCCTTCCTGACTCTGGACATCTTCCTGAGCCAAATCTGCACAGCAGAGTATGAAGCAGATTTATTTTTGAGGGGTGATTCTTGGAGACAGAGCTTTGTAGCTGTCAGCCAAACACTGAGGCTTCATGCCAGCCAGGACAGGCAGAGATGTGCCTGGGGAAAGGAGCAGGGGATGCAGGGACGTGGGAGAGCTTCTATTCTCAGGACTTAAGGAAAGATAGAAATAACTCATGTTTGAAGAGAATGGAACGTGTGTGTTTGGAAATGTCTGCAATCAATGTATTTCACTTCTGCCTGGCAGCCCAGGTGTCCAGCAGGAATTGCAGCTGTGAGTTCCATTCCAGGGCTGTGTGTTGCAGCCCAGTCCTCCCCATCGGTGTGGCACGTAGGGTTGGACATGTGTTGCTGCTATCTCCCAGTCAGATTGGTCAAGCCTGGTTAATTATATTGGACAACTATATTGTGAGATAAGATTTTGCTTGAGGTGTTCTCTTTAGCAATATTACAGCGTTAGTTATCAACAGGATCAAATCGTAGTCCAAAAATATTGACAGTCTGCGCACCGTGCTCAGCCTCTTCAGCTGCAATCTCCTTTGTATGTGATTTTTCTTTCATGTTGCTGCAGATATTGCTACGGAGTTGGAAATAATTCATTAGCTTACCAACATTGATTTGTTTCTCCTGTGAGCGATGTGATATCCAGACTTCAAACACGCCTCAGCAAGCAGAGCAGCGCGGCGGTGCTTTGGGTTGGCGGCGGTGTTTGGGGTGCCGCAGTGCTTGGGAACAAGATGAGCTTTCCTTTGCTGGCCAATGTGAGCAGCTCCAGGCTGCCTTGAGGGGTCCCATGCAGCTGTGTTGCTGAGGATAATGGCAATTCTGGGGGGGGGTTCTGGAATAATGAATGTAACGGTGAATTCTTGCAGCAAAAATAAGCTAAAAGCTAACCGTGGGGCAAAAAGCAGAATTTTTAAGCCATTTAGCTAGATTTCTGCACCTTAGTGTCTAAAGTGAAAATTTCTGGTAGGGTAGACATGGTTGGAATGATTGTGTGGGTTCCTTTGGTCAGGAATTGCTGTCTGATTAAGGCAGAGAGCGCCTCCTCCTAGTGGTGCACATGGTGGGAACTGCCAATCTCCAGTAGTTCTAGAAATACCTCTCATTTCAAAAGATACCGCCTGGAAAATGTCAATGGGCTTAATATATAATGACTGAATAAGAGAAAATGAACTAATTACAAGTTGTTATTGGAAATCCATTCTCTACGAATAGCAAAGAAAGCTCACCAGAATACAACGTCCCGGTGCTTTTAAACTGCTCCTCTGGGTGCATTGATTTGTTAATCTTGGTTTTAAATGAAAGAATTTGCAGTGTGGAGTTGTGCTTCGGAGGTGATGTAGTGCAAACCGTATCAAATGTCTACGCACACTCTTGCAGGAGCAGAATATCTAAATATTTATAAGTGCTTACGAGTGACTCAGTGGCGCATAAAACCAGGCAAATGCCATTTCTCAAAAAGTGATTTGATCCGTACCAGCAATGTTCACTGAAGCAATCTCCTACACACAAATAACACTATTCTCAGTTGCTTGCAGACACAAAATTACGTCAGTGAGCAGCAAATACAAATGTTGGTGAGCTCATGAAATGACTGACAGCCCCTCAGTGGGGCATCCACACCTTCAGATCGCACGGGTCGAGATCTATATGTGGTGATTTGCATTTTCAGTGAGCTGGGGATGTGGAATTGCAGGCTTTTCTATGGCTTTGTTCCATTCGTGCAAAAGCAGAGCAGACCTAGACTTCCCACACTGTCACTCC